AGGCATATCAATTTTACGTTTATTGGACCTTGAACTCGTAGGTTACAGAATGTTTAACCTTTTAGGGAGTATCCTTGTCAAACGAACAAAAAAAACGATCTTTATCCGAATTTGTTTTATAATGCTGATGTAAGGGGAAAAAATCGGTAGAACATTCACATGGCCATTGGCTGCGAAGATCATGTAGAAAAAAAAACATCCAAAAAAGACGCTTTTAGATGATGGGTGAAAAGTGATGGATCACGATTGTTAGAATGAAGTGTTACAAATAAATTGATTTTCTGGTCCAGTGAAATTCTGTTCATTTTAGAGAACATTGATCTATTTCGTGAAAATAAATGAATATCAGCAATGTTAGCATAGAAAAGTTTTTAGGCAATACATACTGTTTTTTATGTTAGGAAAGTGTCAATAACCAGTGAAAATTGTGTCATGTTTTTTCTAGAATTTAGTTGGCAGGCTTTTTACATGGTATTGTTATATCCCCTTGTCGTATGTTCTGGGCATATACCCTGAGGCCAGAGAGCTGTTAAACAAAGGATATATCCCACCACAATTCTGAAATAAAGGTCATTAACTTATCATTACTGGTCTAAATCAGTGGAAAGTTTCATTTCATTATAGACTTCAAATAATTGAATTAAGTTATTGTTGATTTATTCATATTTTCAAGGGTTTTTATTTTTTTAGGGGGCACGGGGCATAGTACTTAAATAAAGGTGTACAATACTTCGATGGATGGTGATGTTAAAATTTCTATTTGATGGAGCTGGATCCCAACATTTTGTTTTTCCATCCTAAACTCTTAACTTGAAAGGGTTTTTTCCACATCACATGGACTCCTGACTGACCACACTTATTTAATCTTGCAAATTAGTTACATTTCATTAGAATATTATCAGGCAAGGTTACATGTATAAATATTATTAAAGGACATACAAGAAAAAAAAAATGATCAAGTTAATTGTCCCCCAATAACTTATAGATTGTATTATCAGTATGTGCAATTGTAAATGCCTTCAGAGGAGGCTGGAGATTGCTGAGTCCAGTTTGATTGAGTCAGAGTGATGTATAGCTGTACAAGTATTTAATGAAACTGCCATCATCTCTGAACCAAGTTCTGTGCTGGACTGCTGGTCATTCATCGATTCCATTTAAATTAGTTCTCTCAGTGCTGGTCATTCATTGATTCTTAGAGTAATTCTTTGTTCAGTCTTTGGATTTTCATTCAATTTCTTTCCTGATGCAAGATTTAGAGTAAATGCACATGCCCAAGACTTCAAAGAGTCAAATTATTATATATTTTTTTAATCATTAAGGTTGACTAGCTTGTTTGATTTCAGATTGGGCCATTGAGTTTTTTTTCTTTTTGGCAAACAAAATAATTGGGAAGGGAGGCATTTACTCAGATAGTCTATCTGGCAGTCTGGGAGGAAAATTGGGAAGATGAATTATTTATTTGTGGGAAACACAATTCTTTTTCTTTCTTCCATTTTGTCTCACACTTCTTCTTAGGACAAAAGACTGAGAAATCAATTTCCATGAGTTATTCACAGCTCTAGTTTTTTTTTTCTCCAAAATTTGACATACAAATGGCAAGAGAGAGGGAGAATGAAATTTATATTTAGGGGGATATTTTTGTCTTCACATAGATATTGTGAATTCTTTCATCAGAAGTCAGGCTGATGTATCTGTAAACAGCTAGGTGACCTCCCCAAGCATTCAGGAGGATCTCATGATATCCTCACGATATCCTCACGGCAGAAGCAGGATGATGTCAGGAAAACAAACATTTACAGAAATACCAGCATTGTACTTTTCTGACATACTTCTCATAATCATAATATATTTTATTATATGATCGAATAATTTCCATCTCTCTGATTGGCTGAGATCCAACTATGTTAGAAAAATACTACGTTGTATTGACCTGCACGTGACGTTCCAGGTCAATACAAGGATTTATTTCCTCTACATTGATCTAAAAATAGATTGGGAAATTCCAAATTGATGCAAATTGTTTTGGAAAGCTATTTAAACGACTATGATTTTTTTTTTCATGTGAACAAAACATAAACGAATATATATTTTAGGGTGAGGGTGGTAAGAGGGGATGAGGGACCCCCCTCCAACACTTTTACTGAACAACAATTTTTTTTAACTTTTTGGCAGTCATTTTTCCTGATAATACTGCTTCCTTTCAAAATCTATCCTATAAAAAATAATGACATCATATTTTTTTTCCCACGGCAACTAAAATTGATAAAAAAAAAAAAAAAAACATTTCAAATTGATACGACTGGTAAGGTTTATTCACATTTTAATTCTGCTTCTCTCTTGTATTTGGCTAGGACTTAATTAAGTGCAAACAAGTAATGAGCTGTATTATTTTATCAGTGAATCATATAATAAAACAATTATTGCTGTTTTTTCGGTCAATACAATGATTTAGCCAGAAGTACAATATTCACCTCGCCCTTCGGGCTCGGTGAATACTTTTCAGATGGCTAAATCATTGTATTGACCTCAAAAAACAGCAATAATTGTATATATATTCTGTTTATTGCCCCATTGTAAACAACAAACAATACTGAAAATATATGGAATGTTTATTACTTTGTTTGCTTTTGACCTAGGGAATAAAAAAGAGGATTGTTATACATGTACACAAATTAATTTTTAACCAATTGACCAAATTCCTTTTTCACTAAATGAATGCAATTTGTATACATGCAGTCATATCTCTTTGTAATAAAATGTGAAAATGTGCTACGATCAGCAATTTAAAACCCTGAAATAAAGGTTTCTCGTCTATTATGTAAGTATTGTTTGCATTAAGGATAGGGTGAGGCATTAACATCATGATGAATAAGGAAAATTTCATGACTTTGTGAAAGTTTCTGACAAATAAGTAAACAGTCCATTTAGCTGGCTGAGAGTTTTGGTTGTTTTAAATAGCAGAATAAATTCTCATTTCCCTTGATATGCTGTCTCAAACTTTTAGATATTAAAGTAAATTTATTCTGTTTTCAATACTGTTGCTACATATTATACTGATATAAAGAGAGATTTAATTTAAAAAAAAAAAGAAGGAATTTCTTATATTTGGGGTGGGGGATATGTTTAATTTTCCCCCAAAATTTATTTTCTTCTTTTAAATTTCAATCTTGAAATAATGCCAATTACAGTGGTAAATTGCGTATTTAAAACTATTTTAATATATTGTTCGTATGAAAAAAACAAATAAGACGATGTGGTAAACAGAATAAATATTTTTATCAGTCGGTGAAGGTCACATATGCAACACACCTCCTTTTTAGCCAATCAAATTTCGTGGTGTAGACAAGCCCACTTCTTACCTTAGCTAAGAAAACATTATGTTTTTCTTCACTACAGCAAAGCCTCTACAATTTTATATATGTAATATTTGCTTGCTAAATATTATATACATAAAAGGAAAAAAAGTAGACCTAGCGTACTTAATATATTTTTCCCCAACCGTGAAATTAATTTTAAGACGGTCCCTAGATTGCTTCAAACCCTTTACGTCATTTTGATTTTATTTCAATATATATGCAAATTAGGCAAATGTATAAATAGCTGAGAAAAAGGAAGAAAAATGGTACTTGCAATGACTTCAGAGAAAAAAATCAAACAAATTATTGTTCATTTAATGGAATTAATCTTGCAAAGCTCATTTTCTTGTGTTATTGCTTCTTGATGAAATGCCGGTATCAAGTGGAATTTTTTTAGACGTGCGTCACATGACTACTGTACGTTTTTTGATTGGGTGAACTTTTGACATGGGGTCAGTTGCATAAATTACCATAATAAGTAACATCGCATGTTATCAGCAGGTTTGCTATGTTATAATGTATTCAGTGAAGTGTTGTGAACAAGGAACGAACGAATATTAAAAGACAAGTGTTATGGAGAAGAAAAACATGAATTAAAATTTATGTGCAACTGAAAACCTGCTTTAATAGTTCCTTTGCAAATCTAAATTTTACCATAAATTCTCATGTTATTGAATATCAATGTGGGATTTTACAAACTTGCAATCTTTGGATCTGAATAGCAACTGTGTGATTGATTCATCGTTTGAAACGGAATCGTCTATGTGTAAGAAGTGTAATAAAAAAGCTCCTGATCCTTGCAGAGGATTGCATGAAAATTATTTGTACAATGACAACGAAAAGGTACAGCAATACTTGACATTTCATTCACATGTTATAATTGAAAATCTGTTTTCTATAGATCTTCCTTTTGAGAAATTTTAATTTAAAAAAAAAAACTTTGCCTTTAGATACAAATATTTTTATTTTAATGCATGAATTTAATGCCCGAGGTGTATAACAAATTCATAAATCTGACTGTTCACAAAGTCGTTAATTTTTTTTTATTAAATAAATCTGCCCGACTTAATTTGTCGATATGTTTTGTTTACCTTTGAGACGCTCCCCAATATGCTAGTCTCGTTTTGGAAAGGTCACGGAAGAAAAATGTGCCACTCAGCTGTTTTTATGGGTTAGAGCAAGAATAGACAGACGACAGGCGAAATCTGTAAAAATTTTAATCAGAAAACGTTTTTAATGCTATATTTGACTGGTTTAGAGTATGGTACACCTGGAATTTGTTTCTTCGGGAAGCTATAACGTTTACAATGGCGTAAGTCTGTGTAGGAAGTGTGGTTTGTTGGTTTATTTTAGCCGGAATCGAGTCCTTTGTTTCGATCTGTCAGGTGTTCTGGTCATCTGTCACACAATGGTTGCTAAAAAAAAAAATCAAAACTCTCGCTTAAAATTCAGCAGTAATCTAATATTCTTTTTAACATTTTTCCTCATAATTAGCCCTCATCTTTGAATTAAAAAAAAGAACATTTGTGGCATTGTAAACTGTTTGGAAAAAAAAGATTGAAATAGACTACCCCTATGGGGTTTTTCCATTCAAAATTATACATGATGTATTTGCAAGATTTTCAGTATTATTTTATTTTTCAGATTGTACCAGTGTCTACATCTGAAGACCAGGTAATTACTTTATTTTCTCTTGTGGTATGTAAATGTTAGAAAATTAAAAAACAAATTGAAAATTTAATATTTTATTCATATTTGATTTTATTAATAGCTATAGACTAAAACTGTTAGATAAATTAAGGCAATAGAAGGGTTATTGAGGCACATAAATAAAATAATCAAAAGTTCTTTACTTCTTAAAAAAATTAAAGGATAAAAATAATAATTTGAGGATATCAAAATCTGGTTTAATTAAGTGTCCTCATTTGCTCTGTATGTCAAGTAAATTGTTTTTATATAAAGTTATGCATGAAGTTTTTGTTTGTTTGTATTGTATTACAAGACACATAATCCTGTAAGACGCAATCATAAATCCATTCAGGTCATTTAATTGATTCCGTCTATTTAAATGAAATGTTTGCCAAAACCTTCCTTGACTAAATCTATTAAGGACATGGGTCCTTAAATTTATTGTGATTGTGAAGCTAACATGCTGATGCAATCCCACTCGCGTCTATAGTGTGAATGATGCAACCCTGCTTTCCTGTATATCAGTATTGTGTCCAGGGTTGGGGTAGCATTTTATTAAAGTCAGTCTAGAAATGAGGATAGGTGTTGGGATAACTGATAGGAAAAGTCGAAAGAAAATGAAGGGGGGAGGTGATAGCCCGAGTGTGGACAGTTTATCTTTATTGGAATGTTTGAGGACTATCTTGTCAGAGGTATGACTGATAAGTGATTGTAGTATATATATGGTGTTCGACAGTCCTTGGTATTTTATGCTGAGTAATTCTGGCTATCGGAATAGACTCAGATGTTAAAGAATAAATGTGAACAAGAAAGAATAACAGACAAATAGAGATAAAAACTTAAAATTATATTTTTTGTTTTAATTTTTTTTTTTTAGAAAAATATTTAAAAGCAGATTTCAGCTAAATCTATTTTCTCATTTTTCTCCTTTTTTCATGATCAGCATGTTGAATTTATTGTAATGTAGCATGTTTAATGCTTTGAAAAAAAGATTGTATTTTTGACCAAGTACTGATACATTTTAAGGAACATTAAATTAATTCTATTTTTAAAAGTCAAATCTACAAATAGCTGTATTTCTGTAACTCCAGAATTTTGTATTATTTAAAAACTGTAACAATGTTTACTTAACATGTTCAAAACTTTTTGATGTTAAAATGCCTTGTACTTTTAAATTATAGAATGACTAGACAGTTTTATGTAAAGTTTTCAAAAGAGGGATTAGCAGTTAATTTCCTATAAAATAATAAAGATAGTTTTATAATGTAGTGTTGTGAGGCAGAAGGGTTTGTTTGTACAGTTAGCTGGGAGGCAGGTGTTATGTCACAAAGATAAAATATTTTCATTACGTCCTTGAAGTCTGTCCACAAAGTGACCAGTAGATATTGTTAGAGTTAGATAATGAAACACTTCAAAAGTTGTAAATGGGCTGCCTATATTGACACTGTCTGAAGAAATGAAAGAGAAAAAGAATACAAGGGGCTATATGATATATCACCAAGTTTTATAATCTTCCTGTTTAAAATTTTTTTTATGGTCATTTTTTAAAGTCATGGGTGTCATCATTTTTTTTTTTCAAATTTAATTTCTATTTAATGAAAAAAAAAAAAATTAAACTTACTAGACTTTTTATAATAAAGGCAATTTTTTAATGGCTAACAACCGTTTTACTAGTAAATGAAGTTTTTTTTTTTAAAAAAAACATTCAATTCATATTTTAAAAAAATATTATATTTTTTAAAAATACTTTGTCATTTATGTTTACCAACTATTGCACAATAAAGAAGCTTGATCTTTGTAAAACCATTAGAATAGGGATTAGTAAAGATAATCTCTGATGTAGATCTCAGTGGAAATATTCACCTGTGATCTATTGTATAATTACCTGTTTCTAACAATACTATGCCATGTCATTACCCATGACAAGTTTCAACACGTTTAGCAATTAAGAGTTTAAAAAAAAAAAGGGGGGGGGGGAGAAAGTTCATCTACACAGAGAAAGTTTATCGATCTACACATTCTTTCTCTCTAAATTCTTCCCTCAATTTGAATTGTAAAAAAGTCTTTGTCTACATGGGACAAACTGTCAGCAATATTTTTAGAAAAGAACATTCATTTGCATATTAATTAACATACATAAGACATGTGCCTCAATTTACCCTCATGCCTTAGTTAATATTATGACTGTTGTCTCTCGCTGACATTATGGAATATTTCTACATGTATTTAATTGTGCCGTTACTTGTAGATTCTGCATGTATTTAATTGTCCCGTTACTTGTAGACCCAGATGCTGTTTGTGGATGCGTTCCTCCAGAACAATAGACTGGATCATGTGACCCAGCTAATGGGGTACCACCCCAATTATTTAGAAATGTTCCTCCGGACGCAGCAATACCTCCTGAGGGGGGATGGGCCCCTTCCTTTCCATTATAGGCATTACATAGCTATCATGGTAAGCCAATCATATATACATTGGTACACATAAGAATTCAAAGGGAAGTCTGTAAACTTCTTGATAAGAAGTGTTGTTTTCTATTCCATATTGGGTGAAAAAAACAACAGATGATCCCAAAAATTTATTGAGCTTGTATTTGGAAAAATGTTCACTTCAAAGAAATTGATAATTTGTTTTCTTTTATTTCACTTTTAAATGACATGTGTCTAACACTGGATGAATTTTATTTTATACAGGCAGCTAGCAGGCACCAGTGTGCTTATCTTATCCATCTACACGAGCAAGAATTCATCCTGCAGGGAGGAGATCCAGATTGGCTGAAAGGCCCCGCCCACATCCCAGCCAAGTTACAGAAACTGCACCAAGTCAATAAAATCCTCGCACACAGACCATGGCTTTTCAACAAATCACACATAGAGGTAAAAGCTACTGTAAAAATCTCAAAAAAGAGTTTTTCATTTGTTTTAATTTTCCATTTGGGAATGAATTTAATTTCATCACTAGAAGGATAAAATATTTATGTATGATAGTCATCAAAATGTAAATTTACTTTATCATAATTGCAGAGCTTACGTAAGGAAGCATGGTCAATAGCTGAGCTTGTGCAGGCCGTGGTAATTATGGCACATTTCCACGCTCTGTCATCGTTTGTGTTTGGCTGCGGAATTAAGAACGAGCCCGACCACCACGGAGGGTTCTCCTACAGACCTCACTCCCCCACGGAAAACGCCAACGACTCCGACTACACAAGTGACAGCTCTTCTGATTGTGTAAGTACTTATATATTAACCATTGCCGCTTTTCAAATTTCTTTCGAAATTTGAAAAATTATGAGTTTAACATTTGGGTCTGTTTCATTGGAGTGCTGATGCATTTTAAGTGTACTATGAGATGAGAAGATTGTCAAATAATGTCATCTTTTTCTGTTTGACAGAGCTCAGAGCCGGAAGTTTGTATAGAGATTCTGATGGAGAGGATGAAGAAGTTGAAGGAGAGTAATGAGGAGGAGCCGACAGAGGAGGAGAGATTAAAGAGATTCGAGAAAGTCGAGACACAGAGTGCAGAACGTAAGTATTATATCAATACATTACACGGTGGACTGGGATTAGGGCTACAATAAATGGAAATTACACAACTAGAAGGATTCAAAGTGCAAATCAATATTTTCAATCTTTTGGTTTTGAAATTTCAATTATTTTCGGGAAGATCCGTATTTGCTTTTTACAAAATGAAGCATTGTAAATTGCATGTAGATCAGTGTTCAGAAATGTGTGGGGGTTTTTTTTAATAACACAGAAAATATTACACTCTATTCTCCTTTCTAGTGGCAAAGCCTGGCAAAAAACCATCACCGAAAGCAGAAATCATGAAGTATGTCCAGGATGAAGAGTTTTGTTATGTTGACTTTACTAAACGAGCCTGTATGGAGGAGGCACCTACGTTTAGGGCTAATGAGTACTCCTGGGATGACCACGGATTTTCGATAGCCAATAGACTTTATTCAGAAATTGGCAATTTGTTGGATGAAAAATTTAGCATGGCTTATAATCTAACCTATTATACGTAAGTTGTTTTGTATAAACTCTTTGTTTTTCTCCAATTTAGATGTATGTATAATAATTACGTAAAAAAAAAAAAAAAAAATTTTAAACTTTTTGATTAAAAGAATATTTCACTATGAGCAAGGTATCATGATAAATAAAGAGTTATTCTTTGTTTTATAGGATGGGTGAAGTTATTGATGTTGATACATCAGCTTTTCGTCGTGCCATATGGTACTACATTCACTGCTTATATGGAATCATGCATGATGACTATGATTACGGACAAGTCAACCAACTTCTGGAAAGAAACTTAAAAGCGTACATCAAAACTGTCACATGCTACCCAGAAAGGCTGGCCAAAAAAGATTATGACAATGTGATGAAGGAGTTCAAACACTCGGAAAAGGTACGCTGATTTCATGTATATATCAGATAAGTAAAGCTGTGTACACTCCTTTCACAGACTCTCGGATCTTTATGAATGCAAATCTCTTCTAATAGTGACATACCTCATTATGTTTCTCCATGGAGGATTAAAAAAGCTAGCTTTAATAAGGCTATACCTACTCAATCATGCAAGTAATAAGGGAAACTGTGAAGGAATATATATCGGTTTGTCCTAAATACTAGTGGTTGTTTACAAGTCCCCAGTGGGTTAGCCCATATTTCAGTGTGTTTACTGTCACAGCTGACTGACCCAGTTAAGGTACATGGCTTAGAGCACAGTGTGTAGTCCTTTAGAAGTAGATTAATACAGCCCAGTTCAACCAATTTAGGTCGAAAATTAAATCGGAGAGATAATTATTTATTTGGTTTCTCAATAGGAAAACTTGATAATTGAAAAAAAAAAATCTTGTAATGAGAAGGTCATTTTATTTGTGTATTGAGCAAGAAACTTGTGTTTGATGCTCAAAATTTCTTGTTTATATGCCTCAGATTATAAAGTTTACTTAATTAAGTTTTCTTTGTTTTAACAGGTTCATGTGAATTTAATGCTGTTAGAGGCCCGACTCCAGGGAGAACTATTGTACGCCCTCAGAGCTGTCATGCAGTACATGACGTAGCACTGTGTCCGAGCCCAGTGACAAGTCTTCCATGACAATAAATTGGAGTCTTACGTGACATTAAATTGGCGTCTAAACCCACTCCCCCTTCCTTGGATCTCAATAGAAGCCTCCACATTGGTGCACGAAAACAGTGGGGCGGTGCAAAAAAAAAGAAAGCAGAACAAATTTTTACCCTTTGTGAATTCAGACTGTGATATATTTTTTTTCCTGTGTGTAGTAGACTGAGGGACAAGAGAAAGGAAAGGAAGAGACATGAGATTATAAACCAAGGCCCTACTCCGAGCTTTGATACAGTTAACACGACAGGCAGATGTTGCTGTGATCTGCCGTACCCCTTACTATGCCCCCCGTTATACGGGGGGCGGCGTCCAAGTCTTTCATCCATTCAGCATGTTGTGGTGCTTAGCCTCGGTGCAGGCTTACGATTCTCCACACTCATGTTTGTAATGTTATTTTATATTATGTTCGTTTAAAACCAAAGTCTCCTACAATGTAGTTTAGTTATAGTTATTTTCTAGAATTGCATTCCACTGAGGTAAAACGCTTATGTCGGAAGGCGGTAGAAAGTTAGTTTGTTTTTTTTCTTTAATATAAAAATCTGATGTTCTGCAGTTCTTCCTGTATCTGTAAAATCCTTAGAAGCAAAAAGTGCTTTGCTAATTTGTATAAATTGCAAATTGAGTCCAAATTTTACAATGAATATGTTTCAAATTTCATACATTTTCTGGAAAAAAACTAGATTTTTTGAATGATGTTTATTAGTACTTGAATGAAGATTACAGACAACATAATACCTCATTAGAGAGTCTGTTCTAGTCATAAGTTCTATGTACCTACACAAAAAATGGGCATTGAGAATGAACAAAAGTATTTTAGTGTAAATTCACCACTCTCATCCATTTTCATTGATCAAATCTTTCATTTTATGATTGAATACTGATCAAATGATACAATGATGATTTTGTAATTGATTTTCAACAACTATGCCAGTAACTTTTTATCATACGCTGTACAAATGCTCAGATTGAAACAGCTTTTATAACAATTGTTTGTCAATTTTTTTCACAGATGTATTTCCAATATATATCATAAAAAATTCCATAAACTTAGTGCTGAAGAGAAATGTTATCTTCCAAAACTTAACCAGATAGTAGCGTAAAATGTGAAAATCCCAAATATGAAGTGCTCAAGCAAGATATTTTTGTTAAACAAGAAAATTATACTGTTTATTTTGTGTCCTCCATGTTCAGTGTGTAAAATGTTGAGTCTTCACCAACAGTAGTTTGTTCCTTGATGTTACCAGAAGCATTAATGTTGATTAGATAGTATTTACATAATGTCTAGAGGAATCAAGTTTTTCTCGCATTTAGATTTCTAAGGCAGATAAACAATCAATAAACTTATTTTTAAAACTTTTTGAATTAAAAAAATAGTGGGTGGGGAGAGATAGCAATAATTTGTGGGAGGGGATATGTTATTATGTGTTGTGTTATTGTTAGATCTGAGACATAATTAAATATTTTTTGTTGATTTTTTTAGACAGTTTATGTTGAATAGAGATAATAAACTAATTGGCAATGTGCAATTTTAAGAGATGTGTAGACATTTTTCACGCTTGGGCCACAAAATAATGGGACAACACTGTTTCCCATTGCGTGCAGAAATCCGGTGTTTTAACAAACTTTTTCACCATCTGTGTTTTGTTGAAAAATCTGTAGAAAATGTGAAAGTAAGATCTCAAAAGACATTACACATTCTTATGTAGAGTACAAGAACTTGTAGAAATTATTCATGATGGCTGCGAGGGCTTGTTTTTTTCTAGTAATCATTGATAGCCTCCCCTGATTGGTTAACTCAGTATTATGACTGTAAAAAATGTCTTGTTCTCTATTGCCGGAGAATTCCATAGCAGTTGTGTTTTTATTTATTTATGACTCATTTCGTACATTGTGATAAAAATGTTGCAAAATAAAATCAATGAAACCAATTTTACCCTGTTCCAAGTTTGTGATTTCTTTAGCCAGAATATACAGTAATATCAGGTGATAGCATTGCTGACTGCCGGAACAGGCCATCATAGACACAATGTAAATCCGATTGCCAGCCTATTAACTTGAAGACTTCGTGTGGAGAGAATATACCAATCTTTTTGTTAGCCTTACAGTAGATTTTCCGCTGATATCTATAAGATATATTATTGGCAGTGCTTAGTTTGCTGACCTAAATTTATATAAGATCGTTACCATTTGAACACAATAAGGACAAAGTTTTGGCACTGGTATAGGTTTAAATGGAACTAAAGTTATGGGCAGTACCATGGGAGAGGAACATTACTGCTGAGACGTTTGAATAGAATGAAAGGGAACGATTTACGTCAGACTGGGGAAAATGTAGAGGGGTTCATATATAACCGGTTTTGAAGATGAGAATTTAATGCCTGTACAAGAATTTGGTCTCTTTCTATTACAATTTTTCTAATATGGAAAGTTTCTGTTCAAGTTGAAATGAATAAAACATGTTTTATATCTGAATGGGGTTTATCACATTTTTACGTGGAATGATTTACCAAAAACTGCTTGCACGTCATGGAAATTCATATATTCGTTCCTGCTGTTTTTTTCTTCATAGTTCTTTCTGTCGGTTCAGAACACTGGAAAGAACGACACTTTGTATCACCGTTTAACAATTTTGCACAGGCTTTGCTGTGACGGACGCAAGAATCTTATTTGTTAAGATCACTACCATGTATATCCTCGTTAAATGATGTCGATAGAGTGTAGAGAAAACTATACATTTTGGTTTGAGTCTTATCATTTGGATGAGCACAGTCTCTAAAAACCTATGCAACATTTTCCTTAGCCGCAGCTAGAATGGTAGTGCCATCCTTGACCATAATTGAACAACCATGTACGAGTGTAAAACCATAACGCTACAGTTCTGCAGCTACATTTTCCTACAAGTATAAAAGAGAGTATGAATTCCACGCAGAAAATAAAACCTAAAGAGCATAGAATTGAAAGCAGAAACATTTAAACTAAAGTATTATCCAAAAGATAGAGAACTACAATAGATTATGAAATCTAGACGCAATAGAGTAATTCAAGAGAGTATGAAATCGAAGAGAGTATGACATCTCAGAGAGTATGGAATTCAAGAGAGTATGAAATCAAAGAGAGTACGAGACTCAGGGGATATAAAAATGAAAGAGAGTATGAAATCCATATCATAATAGGACTTCTGATCATAAATACTGTTCTTTATTTCCATATGTTTCATCTAAGGGAGTATGAAATCCAAGAGAAATCCAAGAGAGTGTGAGAACAAGTTGATAGACAAATTCAAGAGAGTGTAAAATCCGAGAGAATGTGAAATTCAAGACAGTATGAGACTCAGGAGATAAAGAATCCAAGAGAGTATGAAATCCAAGAGAGTATGAAATCCAAGAGAGTATGAAATCCAAGAGAGCATGAAATCCAAGAGAGTATGAAATCCAAGAGAGCATGAAATCAAGAGAGCATGAAATCCAAGAGAGCATGAAATCAAGAGAGCATGAAATCCAAGAGAGCATGAAATCCAAGAGAGCATGAAATCCATGCAAGAGAGTATGAAATCCAAGAAAGCATGAAATCTAGAGAGCATGAAATTCAAGAAAGTATGAAATCCAAAAGAGTGTGAAATCCAAGACAGTATGAAATCCAAAACAGTATGAAATCCAAGAGAATATGAAATTTGATTTAAGCAAGCATGAAATTCAAGAGAACACGAAATTCAAGAGAGTATGAGACTCAAGACATAGAAAAATTCAAGAGAATATGAAATCCAAGAGAACAAGAAATCCATGAGTATGAAATTCAAGAGAGTATGAAATCCAAGAGAATATGAAATCCAAGAGAACATGAAATCCAAGAGTATGAAATTCAAGAGAGTATTAAATCCAACAGAGTATGAAATCCAAGAAAATATGAAATCCAAGAGAGTATAAAATCCAAGAGTGTGAGACCCAGGAGATATAGAGAAATCCAAGAGAGTATGAAATTAAAGAGGGTATGAAATTTAAAAGAATATAAAATCAAATACATAGAAAAATACAAGAGATTGTGAAATCCAACAGATAGGGAAGTTCACGAGAAAGTGAAATCCATAAGATAGTCGTATTTCTAACTTCCAAAAGAGAAATGCAAGTGAGTGTGCAATCCAAAATATAGAGAGAAAAAACAAGAAGGATTGAAATCCAAATGAAAGAGAAATACAAAAGAATCCGAAAAACAATAGATAGAGAGATACAATAGAGTGTAAAATACAGACGATAGAAAATATGAAATTCACTAGACAGAGAAAGTTTAGAGAGTATGAAATGTACAAGATTTCACAAAATATAAAGAGATCAAAGTGAGTATTAATAAAATAGAGAGATATAAGATATAGTTTTAAAAATCTATAAGATAGAGAATTTCAAGTTAGTGTAAGTTTGTTTGAAGGCTGATAAACGTCACACTCGAAAAGTTTTACTCATATATAGATATTTATCAAGTGAGTGTTAGAAATTCAAAATAAGAGAAATTCAGGTTAACATGTATATAAAATCCAATTGAAAGAGAAACTCAAGAAAGAATGAAATCCTAGAGATAGAAAAATCCAAGAGCGTATGAAATCCAAGAGAGTATGAAATTCAAGAGACTATGAAATCCACACGATACATGTAAAGAAATCTAAGACGTATGAAACCACTGAAGAGAAATCTTATAGAGAGTGTATGAAATTAAGAATATAGAATGATAAATCGAAGAGAGTATTGAATCAGGAAGACATTAGTCTTGATAGACGTGCTATTTTTAACAAAAATTGGTGTCTGTAAATGCTAGATGTCTTTTTATATTTTCAATAAGAATTTATTCCAATTTATAAATAATGATAAAAAAAAGGCCAGTCAGCATTTGACCCAATTCCATATTCTTTTTCACAGCATTGATAAACATGTACCTTAATTTCTTACAAGTATTCACATGGATACAGATTTGCCAAAAGCACCCCACACAAAACATAACAAGAAAAAACAAAACATGACCTATAGATTCCTATAAATACACCCAGTGTATGCACGTGCAGCGTTCGCACGTTGGTACTGTATCTCTTACCGAGTTCTATTTCTGCGGATTGCTTCTAGACGCCAGCATGAAGACGTCAGCAGAACCATATTATACAATGCTAGCCTATATGTACATGTATCGTTCTATATATAGAACTTCACTGACCCTCAGCTGGGCAAAGATCCATGAAGCTGAAACACCAAGAAAAACTGCGAAAAGTTATATCAAATTCAGAAAACGGCACTGGATTAAATGAATTGAAGAAGGGGTTAACAGAAATTTTCTTTTTTTATTCCTGTGGTGCATTCGATGGTTTTAAATAGAGGTACTATGGTGATGATAAAACATGGAGTCAATTAAGTCGTTGTAGAAATTAAAGAATAAATGATAGACATATGCTACAAAAGCTGCTCGATCTTTAGTAAGGTATGAGAATATAATTTGTTCACACAACATGCAATAGTACATTATGTATAATCCATTTAGAACTTTTAAGGAGGCTAGGAGGTCAACAAATTATTTTTTATTAACCTCTAGATATTACTTATTTTTTAGATATGATATCTTAAGCTGTCAATTATCATTTGACAAAGAAAAGTTTCATAAGTATTAGTATAAAATTTGATCATTTTATTATATCTTGATATGGAGCTCTTCTACTATTTAAAGGAGATCAACATAGTCTAAAAATGGCCACAACCACCCAGCCTCTTTAAATGTTTGTCCAATGCGGACCTGCATCTGCAGAAAATAAATTAAAACAGTAATTAAACCATTAATGACAATCCATTTAAAAACTTAATAACAATTTCTTTGATATTGAATTGTAAACTCTCCATTCAATAAAACATTTGACAGGTCCCTAAATCTCGGATTACACAAAATCCACTGACTGACGCAGTCGAGCAAATAAGAAGATCCGGGCACCTGCTGGTCCATGTTGAAATCCGGGTAGTGGAGCTTTAGTGAGCAAGAACGTTCTGATCTCTGGCAGTAGAGGGCATTATCCAGTCTCCCGCACAGAAAAAGACAGTGCTGAAGGAGGGACGGATAATAAATCGAACGTAGTGCTCCTGAAGTCGATTTGACACGCCGAGATGGCGATAATCTGGTGGTTAAACCGACCCCCTGTTAGACTTTGTCGCGAGGTCGTCACTGTTGATAGATTTACATTTGACTCTCTGTGGTATTGTACATAAACCTCTTCAATATTTATGAGGAAAGGGTAACTGAGGAGCGTGGCCCAGATTTATGACTTTAAGAAAAAAAAAACCAAATTCAACTTCCACCCGTCTATGTAGCAATTTCCTGAAAACGACAAAGCGACCCCTAAAATCGGGATGCCTTCAATATTCCTTTTAATTTTTTTTTAAATGATAAATTAGGAGAAAGGGGGGTATTAATTTAAAATAAGGGGAATTTACTCTAGAAATTTGAACATCAAAGGAACATGAGGAAATGATATTGATATATTTCAGTGTTAAAGGTGGCTATCTACACATAGATATACGTACTGAAGGTCCCTCACTATCAATGACCTTAAGATAAACTCGAAAGCTGCTCACCGAATTCCGATGGAATGTCAGGAATTTTTCATCGAGCACTCGTGCGAACTAGCAGATGTCCATTTCAACATAAAGGACGATAGATATCAATTATGATGAGTAATCACATATATTACATGATAAACAGAGAAATGGAAAGAGGGCTGTCACGTAGCAATGACTTATATATGTACAGTACACCCGGGTCATATGGATCTAAAAAAGTTATCTGTACCATGTTCACGAAAAGAAAATGTTAAATTAACATAATCATTATATCCAAGTTGTTACTCCCAATATACGTGTGCCATGTTAATTAAATGTCTTTAAAACATACTGATACGGGAATTATTTTA